TTCATTGAAGTAATTTCGTGGAAGGTGTTCTCTGCAGAAGCAAGTCTTTTTAATTAAGACTGATAATATCGTGTAAATTGTAACAGTTTATTAATTGAATAATACGTCAACACTGTTTTGCATTTTATATGGCCAAACCGTTCTTAAGTTGCATAACATTTATCAACAACGCACGTTCTTGCTATTTTAGAGTGAAATAATGAAAATTAGTCACCAGTAGGTGGAGGCGGCTATTCGTTTTATCTCTGAACTAGACTGTGAATAATAAATCGGTGTCAATGAAGCATGATGACTCGAGGTTCAAATGACCGTTCCTTGATAGGATCAAGGCTAATACGGCGGCAGCCAATAGGCGTGAATGTAGTAATGATAAATGAATGGTTAACGTAACTTAGAGGCGGACAATAACAACAGGTGGCACAGAACTAGAACACGTGCAATACCTACGTCTAAATGGGTCGCTACTATCGTTGTACTCATCCATATTGTTGATGCTAGTATTGCTCAGGTGGTGACTCACATTGCATAACCATTTACTTACAAACTCATTCCACTGACTCATCAGTTAAGCATGCTTCTATACAGACTGCACCTTGTCAAATTCTTGAGACAAAGAAGCGTACCAAATATAAAATTCTGCGTCAGTTCCCCACAACGAAACAGGTATACCAAAATTGAGTAACTGTTGAATCTGAGTTATTTACCATTATAGTTAAGACCATTACCAAATGCCTACTCTACTTACGTATATAACGGTTAACAAACGTTATTCATGGTATATTTTTTATGATCACAGAATTTATTTATGAAAATAAAGACGTACCCTTTAGTCGAATCTGAAGTTACTCGGATTTTCATCAAACTTTTTACTGCCTACATCAAGATTCATACAGAAATTAATGTTGCACTTACTGTGTATTAAGATAAAAACTGGCCTATTCCTGTAAACGATAGTATTTCCCAGCCGATTGTCTTTTGGTCCTTTGACAAAATACCCGCTAGATATTACGTTCATAAGTAAGCATCACCAATGAATAAAATAATAACCAGTCCTACGTAGGTGGTTAGATAAAGAAAGCAACAGTTACAGAACTCGCTTGGTCGAATCGTTTATCAATCCCTCACGTGAGTCAACAATCTCTTTGCGAGTTCAATTATTCTGTTCCCCATTACGAAAAACAGAGTCAATTGAGTGCTTACAGATTACAATTTGTTTAATAAAAAATCAACCTGGCAGCATTGGTAAAGCGAACTTCAGGCCATACCGCGCAAACTGTTATTTGCATATCTGAATCACTGAACTCTGGCTGAAATAATAATGACAATTACAGGTTCGAAATACCGCGGAAATAAAGTATGTATGATACAATACTCAAGTTCGGCATACTGAAACGCTGTACAGATAGAGAAGAAAAACTGCAAAAATTACAGTGCGAACTTTTAAGGAACTATTCACAAGCTTAGACGATTTGGCACACCATGAGAATTCTGTCCACTTTGAGCAGTTGTGTTCTGAGTGGGCTGGTTCAGGGCCGATTTAGACTTCATCATTGTCCAATCAAAATTGTAGTCATACTGGTGATTCAACGTGCGGAACAGTATGCGGAAAAGCTGCCGCGAATACATATAATCAGGCATTTCCTCAAACTGGAGATTACGGCAATAGCTGATGAACATGGCAAACTCAGCAGGAAATCCCTGAAATAAATGAGCAACCATTAGTCACTAGTTCATTCATGCATAAGTTTAACAATAAGCGAAGTTTATAAAGTAGCAGTACAAGTTAGTCAAAACGAAGAAAGAATCCATAAAACCAAGGAAAAATAGCGCAAAAAAATTGTCACATAGAGAGGGTGTGGTAATCACACGGCATAACAGTAAATAGGATTAACGAAACTGTGTAGGAGCAAGAAGGTACGAAGTACTTGCATTACGGCAAGCAGTGGAAAAGTATAAAAATGCCATCTCTTGGTGAGTTCAGGCAAGCATTTGGCAGAGTTTGACAACAGGGCCTAAGGAAAGCAATAGATTCAGAAGAAACACCCGTGAGGCTACTTAAACTAATAGCAGAATATATTCAGAATTTTTTCATGCTGTGAAAGAAAATAGCCATTCTCATATTCACGAATTTAAGTAACGTTCCTCTCTCCACGACGACCGTTCAACATTCCGCTTCACACCATACATGATTTGAGATTGCTTTTCAGTCTTTTGCTGAAGTACAGCCTAGATTTACTGCCAAAGAGCTCCTCCAATCTACTTATTCCTTCATTTCAGCGACGCCTTAGTCAACATACTTTGTAACGCAGTACTGAAATAAACTATTTATGTAATCGGCCTTAAGTAACTGAATATCTTTGTTCGAAGCTATGAAAGGTCGCTTCACGTAGTTGTCTGACTACTTCTTAGCCGTCACAGACAATCCATTACGCAGCAAATTTTGTTTCTTTACTGATTTGAAATTCAGTACTGTTCCTACTCTGCTTCGATCTTTGGGTCTGAAACAGACAATGAAACATCTTTAATCAATTAAATTATCACAAGTGTATAATAACATTTTTTACCAAAAAATAAACCGGCGAAACATTCTAATGCAGCTCAACACAAAAGCCCCGTTTCCTGTAAAACTAAGAACACTGAATGGCACAGAAAACAGCATAAAATATGGTTTATTTATACACAACGCAATTTTGTCATTCAGTTGCGAGAAAAGTAGCAGTGTTTACCCGTGTCTCATAAGCCTTCTTTAAGATATAGAGGTGGGTTGACGATCCCTTCAGACAAGGGCCAAATCGTCTGTACCAGTCAACTGACTATATTGTTTACGTTGTGTGCAAATAAGCCATATAGTATGCTGCTTTCTGCACAACATCAATGCAAAAACTAAATACCGAAATCCTTGAACTGTTTCTCCTGGTATCTTTTAAACAACTCGGCATCACCAATTTGTATATTTCAAAATTTTATTGCAACACTTCTGTGCTACGTTAAAATTTCATTTTTAAGTTGAACAAATAAAAAAATAAAAAAAACCCAAACATACTCTGCAGAGTACATCCACAGGACAAGACATCTTCTTTTCACTGATTTTTTCATACTTTTGTTTCTTCGTAGCAGCCTGCAACAATAAAACAAAACGTAGCAGTCGAAGATGAATGATGATTCAACATCAATCTACCAAAATGACATGAAAGGGCACAACTGTATACTTTCCATGCCCGCAAATCTGGTGCTAATTTAACAGCGAGCAAAACGCTGTAGCCATATTTGTTTTTAACACGCTAAGTGAAACTATCATTCGAAGTCAAACGTGCCACATAGTTACTCCCCGAAAACACAGTATAAAGACTGAAAAATAATTCCACTAACTGTTATAAATTATAGTTTACCATTAAGTATTCGCGAGAAACGTGAACAAATATTTAAATGTAATTCCGTTGCCATATAACATAATAAAAACACGCAGCAATTACAGCTTGAACATTCAAGGGAATGGAACCCAAAAAGAAGAGAATCTTTAAGAAAGCAAGCAAAATTAAGTAGACGAAATAACAATAACTGATGCATCGAATTCAACAAACTTAAACTGTAGAATAACGAATTCAAATTAAACTGTAACAGAACTAGGTTAAAACAGATATATACCCAAAATAAATATACTATACCTTTATATTCATTTCAAATTCTCTCAGAGAATATTTGTCAGCAGCTAGGAGTTAATTTTGGCCAGCAAGCTGAGGTCAACTACAAATCTGTAATGTCCATTATCTTACGCAATATTCTGCAGAATCATGGCAACTTTTTAGTAACCTTTCTGTGAGCTTCAGGTGGTTGAAACTCTCCCTCATTAATTTTGCAATCACACAAGTAACATAAATGACCACTGTTGTTCGAACAGTCTCTAATCGATATACCTGCCTAAATACCTGATCGATGGCCAGGTTTTGATATTTTCTCCACCCACGAATTTCGTCTAATGCGCAACATTAATTATTTCAATTGACCTATTTATGTGATCCAGGATTAATGTGCCTGAATGACTGTGATCAACAACAAGATCGGTGACTACAGAGTGGTAAAAATTGATGGTACATTAGTCATTCTCAAGCACGCACGCTCACTGACTGATATCGGTAATACGACGTCGATTCTGAAATGAGATCTCTCCCAAGCGCAACTTGGTGTATCAACACTGCGACGCTATTGTTCCGCTTGAGGCACTTCGTGTTAGCCAGAATGGAACAATTACGAAAACATGTTGGATCGATTCCGTTGAACTGCCGTATATTCAGATGTCATCTTTAATGATGAATTTCGTATAGTTCGTTTCAAGAATCATTTGACCTTGTGTTGCAACTGCATATCCTTCTGCATCTTACCTCGCGAAGCGAAGCAAGCGACTTTCCTGGGTACATTCTGCTATATATAAGGGCAGCATAGTTATGCAGATGAAGACTATGGCTTTTCTTTTTTTCCATTCATGAAGTTTGGATATTACGCTTCTCTTCTCTAGCATGTGATAGCTAATCACTCGCCTACAGCCTTTGCAGCGTATGTCCTTTGTCTGTTTCTGCTATGAACCCATGTAAAAGTGAATCCTTCATCAATAAGTACACGCGATGGGTCTGTGTTTCTTCATTGCAGATACCAGCAACGTTCAGCAAACCGCAGCAGCCGTGCTTCCTTGGTAAATATAATCTGGTTACAGATAATCTTGGATGGTGCCTAAGGAAATCCATCAATGTCGTCATCATCTTTTGATCAAAATCATCGAGAGGAGTCAGGGAATAATTTTTTACCATTAAACTTACAATTCTTAAAATAAAAACTACATATACTCCGTAAAATTCTATACCTGGGAAAGAAGCATCGCCCCTCAAAAAATTAGCATTAAGAAACCCGCCAAATGAACTCTGACCAATACCCTTCTTGTTCAGAACCAGAACACTTTTCCTACTAAATGAAGCTTCAACTTACAAAGAGCTCAAGGATAGTAGTAAATAACATTCAGAAAGTAAACTCCTACTCCCGTCAGCAAAATAATTGGTTCTACAGATTTAGAAACATCAAACACCCAGATCTGCTACCGCTATGCTTGCAATACAGCTGCAGTGGACTCTGCTTTTAAAATAAG